CTTATGTATGAAGGGCCTGCATGCACACACACACCTCACACACTTGCTGCTGCTGCTGCTGCTGCTGCTGTTGCTGCTGCTGATGGTGGTGGTGCTGCTGTTGCTGCTGCTCATGCTGGTGGTGCTGATTGTGGTGGTGCTGCTGATGCTGTCGCTGCTGCTGCTGTTGCTGCTGCTGCTGTTGCTGAGGCTCTACCAATGCATGAAGATAACAAAGGGATGAGCAGCAGCAGCAGCAGCAGCAGCAACAGCAGCAACAGCAATAGCAAGAAGGTTAGGAACAATAGCAGCAACAGCAGCAGCAACAGCAACAGCAGCAACAGCAACAGCAGCAACAGCAACAGCAGCAACATCAACAGCAGCAACAGCAACAGCAGCAACATCAACAGCAGCAACATCAGCAACATCAACATCAACAGCAGCAACAACAGCAACAACATCAACAGCAGCAACATCAACAGCAGCAACAGCAGCAGCAGCAGCAGCAGCAGCAGCAGGATTACCCCCATAGCCACCATAGCTCCAGCCTCCATAGCCGCCGTAGGGGGCCCCATAGTAGCCAGCTGTGCTGCTGCTGTAGTAAGGGCTTATGCTGCTTGCTGCTGCAGCAGGTGCTGCTGCATATATATTACCATCTGCTGCTGCTGCTGCTGCTGCTGCTGCTGCTGCTGTTGGTGGTGTTGCTGCTGCTGCTGTTGCTGCAAACGGCTGCTGCTCGCATATAGACATGCTCGTGCTGCTGATGTCATTAGCAGCAGCAGCAGCAGCAGCAGCAGCTGCTGCTGCTGCTGCTGTGTCTGCTGCTGCAGCAGGAGCAGCAGCAGGAAGACACAGACCGCTGCTGCTGCTGCCGATAGTAAAAGGTAACGCCAGCTGCTGCTGCTGCTGCTGCTGCTGCTGCTGCCACGGCTTAGGAGGGGATTGCTCCATTTTGTTCTTTTGCTGCTGCTCCTGCTGCAGCTGTTGTTGTTGCTGCTGCTGCTGCTGCTGTTGCTGCCGCAGCTGCTGTTCTTCCTGCTGCGGAATCAGCTGCTCGTGCTGCTGCTGCTGCTATTACTGCTGCTGCTGCTGCTTCTAATACTGCTGCTGCTGCTGCTGCTGTTGCTGCTGCTGCTGCTGCTGCTTCTCGTGGGTGGATTTGCTGCTGCAACTACTTCGTAGGAATGACTGCAGCAGCAGCAGCAGCAGCAGCAGCAACAGCTGCAGCAGCTGTGACAGCAGTTGCTGCTGTAGCAGCAGAAGTGGTGCTGCAGCAGTTTGTGCTGCAGTAGCTGATGCTGCAGCAGCTACAACTGCAATAGATGCTGGCAGCAGCAGCAGCTCAGAATCCCGCTGCTGTTTCTTCTCTAAGTAATGAATACCGGCTAACGCTAACAACTTTGCTGCTGTTGCTGCTGCTTCTGCTGCTGCCGTTGTTGTTGCTGCTGCTGTTGCTGCTGCTGTTGCTGCTGTTGCTGCCGTTGCTGCAGTTGTTGTTGTTGTTGTTGCTGC